TTCCTGCTCTTCGACAATTTCTCAGTTGGGATTATCTTTTTTTTTTTTTTTGTATTGATTTCCCTGCTCGACTATCGTAAACCCTAGTTTGCAGCAATGGTTTGAGTACTGTTCGAGTTCAAATAAGAGAACCTGTCCGGTCTGCAAGCAGAAATGCCTCGTGAAGGATGCTTGTCGGCTTTTCTTCCAGTCAGCTGGGAATCAATGCGATTCGATAGCGTCACAGAAGGTTGCTGATCTCGAAGGAGACCCGACGGTGTTGCGAGGAGAAGTGCAGCGGCTCCAAGGGAAGATATCGGGGCTCTCTTCTGCTATGGAGGGCCAGAAGAAAGAGATAGTCGAAGTGTCCAACGAGGTAATTTGATCTGTTGCTGCGAGTTGTTCTCTTGGCTTCGACAAGGCTGCGAATCCGTGGATATCCTAAAAGTCTGGGTTGCAGTTTTTTTGTTTCGTTTGTGATTTCTGCTTTCATAGTCTAAAATGGTGGTTTTAATTTCAGCTGCGGCTCTGTAAGGAGCAGTTGAAGGAGGAAAAGGAGAAAAGATGGGAGGCTTTGCAAGAAAAATCAACTACCCAGCACTTGCTTAAATCAAAATCCGAGGTTCCTAACTAAATATTTGCTGCTGATACATTTGTCACTCAGAAGATTTTTTTTTGAGTTTTTCATTATCTCTGTGACAGGAATGTGATCGGCTTGCTTCCCAGTGCGCTATGTTACAAGAGAAGACTATGGCCCTGGCCAAAGAGCTTGCAGCTCTTAAATTGTATGATAATGCCTCTTTTGTATCTCATTTTTGCTTTATGTATGAGCTAATCAATACAAGTTTTCTCTTGTGGTTTGAGGTCAGGGTGTCTGACTTAAGCTTGGGGGAAGATGACGTCCTGAAGCTAGCTTTGTTGGGAAATGAGGCTAAGGCGAAAGACACAATAGACACTCTCGTAAAGTCCTTGGTAGTACGGAATAGGTGGCTTCCTAGCTCATTTTCTTAATGGTTCTACCTTCTTGCATTTTAACCGGTGTTTATGTTAGCAACATTGACTTTGGAATATAGGGTTGGTCTCGCTGATCTTGAATAACCCTTATCCACAATGATGATGGCACTTAGTTTATGCATTTCGGTAGCAGCTGAAAAGAAGATTTTGCATTCTCTCTTATCACTAGCAGAGTTTGTTTTTAAGCTGTAAGATAGGAGGTTTAACATGCCTTAAATGGTCTAGGTGTAGAAATTAAGGCAACATACATGTTTACTGTATTGCTTCTTTCTTGGCTTTATCAATGTATGCACAGCTTTTGACAAATGTAACACAAACCTTTGTTGCATATGTTTCCACTGATAGGAGTTATAAGGAATTGTTAGCCAAGTGCAATCAGCTAGGCAGAGGTGAAGCCCGTTCTTCTGAGAAACTTGAAAAGGCTATGGAGAAGATAGATAAACTAAAGGTGGGTTCAAGGTGGTGTATCCTGTATAAGTTTTTTCTTTGATTCAAACACATATCTTCTTATTCTAATCAGAAACGGGTGAGGGAGCTTGAGGTGTCAATTGAAGAGAAAGAAAATGGAGTTTTAAGAGCTTTAAAAGTTTCAAAGACACAGAATGAAAAGAACGTTACCAAGCCAGCAAACAAGACATCGGCTTCTTCTCACACTCTGCTGTCAGATAATTTAGCTGAACAACCTGTTGGCAAGTTGGAGAGGAGTGGTTTCACTGATGAACAATTGTCCACAAGGGGAAGGGAAGTCTTCTTTAGTGGCAGACTGAACACCATTATTGGGGTAGATGACGACATTCCCGAAATTGTGGTGGCAGATTTTAGACATTCTTATGCTGGTGTGAACCATCAGAAGATTGAGGATGATGTTCAAGAAAAATGCAGTACCATAGATGATCCTGTGAACAAGAATGTCAAGTTCAACATAAAAAAGGATCCTCCATCATCAGGCTTACAGTGCAAAGGTGGTACTTAATTACACACCATTCATTCTGCATATATTCATAGTTGCCACCTTCAACATAGCTATCTAGTTTGTTTTTCCTTGTCATAGAAAATATCTCTGCCTTGATCTTAATGTATTACGATGTGGAAACAAATAGGAAAAGTCACTGAAGATTGTTTGAAACTCAAAAAGATGCAGGTGACATTTGCTTTTCGAGTGGATTGCTTGGCCATGACGGAAACAAACGGTATCTTGGAAAATGGTGCAAACGCACACAGAGCCAAGGATCAACACCTTCACTTGGGTCTATCCCAGGGAATGGCGAACTGATTACTGTCGGGCCAGATGGAAGAGGTGGAAGAATCAAAGTTCTGAGATCTCACGCTCACATTTCTGTGAGTCTGCTTCTAACCCATTTCATTTTATGCATTTTGTTTTAGCAAACAGATTTCTGAATCCTGATTGCTCACATTCTGTATGAGCATCCTAATCAAAGTAAGATGTTTTACACTGAACATATGAGATTTTATGATCATTGGTCTCAGATTTCATTCAATGCCTTATCTATCCCACCCCCAAAAATCTGGGTCTTTTAAAGATTTAAGCTTTGAACAATTCAAGGGTCATTATTACACAGGAACCCAATGCCACGTCAGGATGCGCCAAGAGGTTAAAGCATGCGACCAGGACAAGCGGTTCACAGTCTCAGGGCTGTCTTCAGATCGAACACTTCTTCGGAAAATCCGACCACTAACTCACAGTCTTTATTAGTGTTGCATCAAAGTTTTGCTGCTTTACAGGTTAGTAATTGTAATATTCTTAAATTAATGGTGAATGCTATTGTTCAGTTGAGATATTTTTGTTCTGAAAAGCATAATAAGGATTCTTTGTAATGGTGCTTTTTTTTTTATTACTATTATATTAAATATTTTATTAAACATGTGACATGTCTGTGAATATATACATATGGTAGGAGTGTTGGGCATATTGCGGTCTATTTCAAAAGTATTGGGCCAATAGCAGAAATATCTGGGAAGTCACGGGTCGAAATGAAAAGATATTGATCTTCTTTAGGACTAACTAGGCAGGAAGCAGCACAGGTCATTGTCACGTTATGCTTAAATTAAATATTACAGTTTTTTTTTTAGTTTTTGTTTTTGGTATACTTTGACTCCTCCGTCCGTATTTACCTCGTCTTCAACCGTACGTAATTCCCTAACGATTCACCTTCAAAAATATCCCCAAACCCCCCAACCCTAACCTATTTTACCTCCCTTCCTCCACCATTTCCCCCATTCTCTATTTTGGTTGCTGACTTTCTCCCTCTCTCTGGTTCCGATTCATCGCTTGGAACAATTTTTGATGGATCTTCATCATGCTCAGGTTCAGGATCTCACTTCTCTCCACATGAAGACCTCATCGGCGGTGGCCTTGCCGTTGTCGCAATCGGCATGGCTCGAGGTTCGCTTGTTCTACGTCCGCGTCGCCCCGTGCGTCGTTGACAGCGTCCCGGACCACCTCACTCTCCGTCACCCTCGCCGGGAGATCGGTGCCTCCCTCGACGTCAACGGCGTCCGTGTTCCCGCCTCCCAGACGGCGGCGCTCATCCTCCGCCGCGACCGACTCGACCGGGATTCGTCGGAGGTGACCTACGTCACCACCGAGACGGTTCGTGTCACCGGATGCGTGGATTTCGAGGTTTACGAAGAAGGTAATATGATTCTGTGTGGAAACCTTGACAGAGTCGAAGGCGCGTGGAGCAACGGTACCGTGAGCGACCCGAAGACCGGTTGGGGGATGGATTGTTACACGGCGATGGGTAACGGGTCGGGTCCTTGTTCGACGGCGTTCTTGCAGCCGAAGCTAGGCGTGTCTTCTCCGTCGGTGGAGGTTTACATAGCTGGGTGTTGCGGCGGCGTGCCGGTGATATTGACGAAGACGATTCAGGCGAGCCCGAGGAGGAAGGTGGCGAGGCATGTCACCCTCGACGCTATCCCGGAGGACGAGGAGGTCGGAAAGGAGCAAGACATTGTTGGTGTTGGTGGCACCGGTAATGGATTGATCCGACAACGGAAGGTATCGTTCGGCCTTTTGCTTATTCCGATTCTATTTCTGGAATCGGATTATTATCATCTTGGATTGGAATCATAAAACAAATTACCCTGATGCATGTTGTGATTTTTTTGGAGAGTCGTCAGAGATCTGGGCATTGGTTGGTAGATGATTCAGTAACAAAGAGCGAGGGAAATAGCTCCTGTGATATGATTTATATAGAGTATAAGCTGTTGCGTGGGGAAACATCGCCTGAAACCTTAATCTTAGATGGCTTTTCGGATTCTTAGACGTCCATTAAATGGGTTTCTGGGAGAGGATTCATGCGCATTGATATCATCTGCATCTCACACTTGGCCGACATCTGATATTTTTGCAGATTGTGGAATCAGAAGTTGATGATTACGAGTTTGACATGAAAGTCGGACACAGATACTACCCGGAGGAGATGTACACCGATGAGGATGGGCAGCTCTCATGGTTCAATGCCGGTGTCAGAGTGGGTGTAGGGATAGGCCTTGGAATGTGCCTCGGTGTTGGGATTGGTGTCGGCCTGCTAATGCGTTCATATCAAGCAACGACCCGGAACCTTCGGAGGAGGTTTCTCTGATCATAAAATCCATCTTTTTTTAGAGACCCAAGAGGCATAAATCTAAATATGATAAAAGATTGCCAAGATTCCTGAAGAAGAAGTAAACAACAACAAAGGAGTGTGGCAGCTATGAGCGAATAGCAGGCAGCAGACGTTGTAAAAAGAAAGCTTGATCAGATTTTGGTAGATAGGGTTGGTAAGATGTACAGAGTTTTCGCACTTTCGTCACAGGTGGAACTTGAAGTTGTGACCGACCGGCTTTGTTCACAGGGAGCTAAAGCAGCAGGAGAGCTCAGGGCCGAGGTCTGTGTTTAGGTGTTTTTCTTGCTTGAAGAGCTTAAACTTTGTGTGGGGAGAGATTCTGTGTTGGTGCCAAATCTGGAGTTTGTCGGGTTTTGGTAGGAAAGTATGTACATGATGTAACCTCAAGAGAAAGCCCTACGCAATTAGTCGACTCCATCTGTCCCAAATGACACTGTTTCTGATGAGGAGATTGAGAAAAGTGGAGTCAGTGAAGAAGACGAACAGGGACAGCAACCTATCAAGAATCGTAATTAATCATTTTCAACTGAATTGGATTGGGTAACAACAACTACTCGGTTCTTTTCGGTTTACGGTTTTTTAGTCTCGAATCAAAATGGTTTCCTCGCAGTATTGACTGTTCAACACCGAAAAGACGAAAATACCCTTCCAGAGATATATTCACGGGTTAATGCTGTATGGGCAATTTCGGAGAATGGGTTGAACAGGCTGGAATATTTTTATAAATTTGAATTAAAATAATTAAATATGTGGCAGGTGGAAAGAGTTTCCACATGGCAGTTATCTATTGGGTGAGGTAAAAGGTTTACTGTCACTTACCCCTCCCCCCTGACCCTGGCACGTGATTGCTCACGCCTACTCCCAAAGCTCGTGTATACGTGGTTATATTCAACACGACGTCGTTTCCTTATTTTTCTATAAATATTTTTCCTTAAATCAGTGAATCTATGCAATCACATCAAAGAAAAGCATAATCATATTCAGTATCCCAAACAATATGTTAGCAATATCTAATTTATAACAATTTTAGAATACATGTATATTAAAGTCATTCGATTTAATCAAACTGATTCTTTAAAAAATTATCACTTTAAATTATGAATTCAAAATATAAATTTCGAGTCTCGATGTTAGATGTAAAAATATTTATATGGACCTATTACATATAATAAACATTAATTGAATCAAACATAAGAACATGTTAAAAATTTCAGAGAAAATTACAAATCGATGCACTTGTTGAAATTTTACATATGACAATATCTGCATCAAAATATCTTTTTCATTTACTGGTTAATAGATTTGACGGTCCGAGTGTAATTAAAACAAAATTTAAAATTTGGTCGATTTGGTAGCTTCAACCAGAAATGATATATGGAGATCATTATTAGTTTATTACAATTGACAACAGTCACGTGCATGGTGCAGGGAATAATAATGGGAATAGACTTGTTTGGTTGGGTATAAAGCTCTACCCCTTCCCCATACGGGATCCACTTGTTCCCTCTTCCAAACACGCCTTCATTGCTCGATTTTCGAGCACACCATTTTCTTCTGAACCTACAGTGTATCTACCCTCCCCTCAATTATTATTATTATTATTATTATTATTGTTTCTTTTATAACCGTATAATTTCGTAATGTTTAGTGTTTGAAAAATTCTAAATCTATAGAATATTATGAAGATTTTTTTTTTGGTTTAAAGAAACTCAATACGAAAAGTAATTCTAAAATAAAGAAATTGAATCCTTAATTAGCTCACACTTGCCAATTACGTTACCTAGTTCTTATTACATTAAATATTATTTGTCAATTCAATCAATATTATACTTTGGCCCTAGTATGCGCACATATATATATATATATATATAATATCAAGCTTAATCTTTAAATGAATATAAATCACTAAGTTTCTATATTCGATTTCTATTTTATTATTCGATTTTTATTTTCCCGTCGAAACCCTATGTCCATTACACACAAGTGCTTTGTGTTAATCTGTCAGAATTCTCTCCCTCTCTCTCTCCGCCGCTTCTCTCTCCCTCTCTCTCTCTCTCTCTCTCTCTCTCTCTCTCTCTCTCCAGATCTGATAATAGATCTTGCTCAAGTCACCTCTCGTACTTTCCTTTTAATCTCAGGTTCGATTTCAACAGCTCTTATCTTTCTGTTCTTACGTTTCTGGGTTTTGGTTGAATTTCAGTGTCGCATGCAATGTGTTTGACTAAATGCTTGAACGAAATGTCTTTAGTTTAAGCTGCTCTCTCATCTCCGGTTTTATGTTTAATCCGTGAGATATGTTCATTGGAATCCAGTTTTTGAGTTTTAAAAACAATTTTTAGCTTTACAGTAACATTATTATCATCATCATCATCGTTTTTATAGTTATTATTATTATTATTATTTGATTCACAGTGAAACTCAAAAAATTACTGGGAAGAAACTTCTCGAGTCTTTCCATAGTTTAGTACTTCAACCGTTGTCGGACTCTGGGTTTAGACTTCGAGTTCAACTCCAAGGATTATATTAATAAAAACTTTATAGTATTTGCAAATGTTAATATTATATATATATATATATCAAACTGCAAATATACTTTATAAAAAAAGTTCCAACTATAACTGGATGATGTACAAACGGACGAATAATTAATCAGAAAGTTTTTATTTCTTTTACAATCGTACAATAAGGTGTTTGGAAAATTCTAAAACTATAGAATAGTATGGAGATTTTGTACATCAAGATAAATTTGTAATAAACCAGAGACGAACTCAATACAAAAAGTAATTTTAAAATAAAGAAATTTTTAACATTGTGGTAATGGGTATCATTTTTGCTCGTCTGTATTTTGAGTAATTTAAGGATCATGTCTGTCACTCTTTCTTTCTCTCAATTTGTTTTCTCCTCTCACTTTTTATTTTATTTCTATTTTCTTGTCAAATACACACATACAAGTACACCCATTTGTAATGTTTATTTAGTAAAATCTATTTATTAGAATCTAATTTTTGAGTTTTAAAAATGATTTTAAACTTTACAACATTATTTGTCTATTCAATCAACATTATACAATATATATTGTCAATACTTAATCTTTAAATGAATATAAATCACTAAATTTCTATATTCGACTTCTATTTTATTATTCGATTTTTATTATTCCGTCGAAACCCTATATCTATATGTATATATAGACAAGTACTTTGTGTTAATATGTCAGAACTCTCTCAGCCTCCGCCGCTTCTCTCTCTCTCTCTCCAGATCTGATAATAGATCTTGCTCAACTCACCTCTCGTACTTTCTTTTTAATCTCAGGTTCGATACTCTCAGGTTCGATACTCTCAGGTTCCATTTCGATAGATCTCCTCTCACTTATTTGGTTGAAGTTGCTCTCTCCTCTCCTCTCTGATTTTTTTTTTTTGTTAAACCTCCTCTCAATTATTCGATGTCGATTTTCCTCTCAATATTAGCTGTCTGTATATATATATAGACACCCCCCCAGTTTTTAGGTTTAATTCATGGAATCTGTTTATTGGAATCCAGTTTTTGAGTTTTGAGGTTTTGGCTTTCTGATTCAGGTAAGATGACGCCAATGGTCCGGAGAATGGCTGCTTTCGCATTGGCTTCTGCCTCAGCTTTGTTCCAGACTCATCCCCTTGGGAGAGGTACTCTGAACAGCTTCTTGCTTTGCTCCTCTGTCTTAAGTTGTCGGAGATACAGTATGTCTTTCAGAGACAGATTGAGATGTGGGTTTCATGATCGTCATGCTGAGGATGCTATTGATTTGTTCGATCAGATGGTTCAGTCTCATCCCTTGCCTTCCATCTTTTATTTTTATAAACTATTGAGTGCAGTCATGAAGATGAAACGGTATGATGTTGTCATTTCCCTAGGCAAGAGAATGGAATTGCTTGGGGTTTCACATAGTATCTGCTCGTTTACTGTTCAGATCAATTGTTTCTGCCACTCTCATCAAGTGGTTCTGGGCTTATCTGTTGTGGGAAAAATCTCGAAACTTGGTTGTGAGCGTACTGTAGTCACCTACAATACCCTAGCTCACGGGTCCTAGCTCACGGGTTCTGTATTCAGGGCAAGATTCCGCAGCGTTAGACTTGATTGACCAAATGGTAAAAGAAGGATGCAAACCTAATGTTGTAACATTTAACACTTTGGTCAATGCACTTTGCATTGCGGGTAGAGTTTCTGAAGCATTGAGCTTATTTGATCAGATGCGAAAGATGGATTGTCAGCCCAATACAGTTACATTTGGCATTGTTATAAATTGGGTCTGTAAGGTAGGGGATTATGCGTTGGCCATGAATATCCTCATGAAGATGGAGGAAATGCATATTGAGATCAATATCGTAATTTATAATATGATTATTGATTTTTTTTTGCAAAGCTGGATACATGGACGATGCACTGAATCTTTTTCGAAAGATGGATAATGTCGGGATTACACCAAATGTTGTTACATACAACACTTTGATAAACGGTCTTTCCAGATTTGGTAGATGGGATGATGTTGACCGATTGTTGAATGAGATGGTGAAAAGGAAAGTCAACCCTAATGTTACCACTTTCAATGGATTAATCGATGCACTCGTTGACAAGGGGAAGTTTCTGGTGGCTGAAAAATTGTACGAGGAGATGATCCAGAGAGGTTTAGCTCCGGATATGATTACTTATACTTCATTGATCAATGCTTTTTGCCGGCAGAATCGTCTTGATGAGGCAGAACAAATGTTTAATTCTATGATCACCAAGGGATGCTTTCCAGATGTAGTGATGTTTAATTCCATGATAAATGGTTATTGCAAAGCTAATAGGGTCGATAAGGGTATGAAACTCTTTTATGAGATGTCTCGAAGAGGATTGGTTGTGGATTCAATTACTTACACCATCCTCATCCAAGGTTTTTATCAAGTAGGCAATCTTGATGTTGCCCAAAAGCTTTTACGGGAGATGCAGTATAAAGGTCACCATTCAGTGTTGTAACTTACACCATTTTGCTTGATGGTCTTTGTAAGAATGGAAAAATGGAAAAGGCACTTGGCCTATATAAGAAGCTGGAAAAGAGTGGGATTGACCTCCATGTATCTTCTCATTGTGCCATGATACATGGATTATGCAAAGATGGAAGGGTTGATGAGGCATTGCTGGTATTTAATAAGCTTTTTGATAAAAGGATGAAGCCAAATTTTATCACTTGTAATATAATGATCTCCGCACTCCGCGGAAAAGATTCTCTCTATGAAGTCGAAAAGGTAATTGGGAAGATGAAAGAGGCTGGTTGCTATGGAGGGCCAGAAGAAGGAGATAGTCGAAGTATCCAACGAGGTAATTTGATCTGAAATCAAAATCTGAGGTTCCTAACTAAATATTTGCTGCTGATACATTTGTGCTTATTTGTCACATTCAGAAATTTTTTTTCGAGTTTTTCGTTATATTTGTGACAGGAATGTTAATCGGCTTGCTTCCCAGTGCGCTTTATTACAAGAGAAGACTATGACCCTGGCCAAAGAGCTTGCAGCTCTTAAATTGTACGATAATGCCTCTTTTGTATCTCATTTTTGCTTTATGTATGAGCCATTCAGGCTTTGTAAGTTTTCTCTTCCAATCTTGTGTTTTGAGTTCAGGGTGACTGACTTAAGCTTGGGGGAAGATGACGTCCTGAAGCTAGCTTTGTTGGGAAATGAGGCTACGACGAAAGACACAATAGACACTCTCGTAAAGTCATTGGTCGTACGGAATAGGTGGCTTCCTAGCTCATTTTCTTGATGGTTCTACCTTCTTGCATTTTAACCGGTGTCTGGCTATCGTGGTATAACATTTTAGGAGGTTTACTGCATCTAAATGGTCTAGGTGTAGAAGTTAAGGCAACATACATGTTTATTGTATTGCTTCTCTCTTGGCTTTATCATTGTATGCACAGCTTTTGACAAATGTAATACAAGCCTTTGTTGCATATGTTTCCACTGATAGGAGTTGTTAGCCAAGTGCAATCAGCTAGGCATCGACTGAAAGGGCCATGGAGAAGATAGATAAACTAAAGGTGGGTTCAAGGTAGTGTATCCTGTATAAGTTTTTTCTTTGATTCAAACTCATATCTTCTTATTCTAAGCAGATGCGGGTGAGGGAGCTTGAGGCATCGATTGAAGAGAAAGATGGAGCTTTGAGAGCTTTAAAAGTTTCAAAGACACAATGAAAAGAACGTTACCAAGCCAGCAAACAAGACATCGGCTTCTTCTCACACTCTGCTGTCAGATAACACTTTCACTTGGGTCTATCCCAGGAAATGGCGAACTGATTAGTGTCGGACCGGATGGAAGAGGTGGAAGAATCAAACTTGTGAGATCTCACGCTCACATTTCTGTGAGTCTGCTTCTAACCCATTTCATTTTATGCATTTTGTTTCAGCAAACAGATTCCTGATTGCTCACATTCTTTATGAGCATCCTAATCAAAGTAAGATGTTTCACACTGAACATCTGGGATTTTATGAACATTTGGCTCATATTTCATTCAATGCCTTATCTATCCCACTCCTAAAATTCTGGGTCTTTTAAAGACTTAAGCTTTGAATAATTCAAGGGTCATTATTGGCCCACATCTGATATTTTTGCAGATTCTGGAATCAGAAGTTGATGAGTACGAATTTGACATGAAAGTTGGACACAGATATTACCCGGAGGAGATGTACACCGATGAGGATGGGCAGCTCTCATGGTTCAAGGCCGGTGTCAGAGTGGGTGTAGGGATTGGAGTTGGACCGTGTTTAGGTGTTTCTGATAAGCTGTTTAGGGTGAAATGCCATTTATAACATGTAATGTACAATCAGATATAAATGCTAATGTTACACAGATGCAAGATCAACAAAGGACCTTATGCAAAATTAAATGTGTTCCAAAAAAAACGCCAACAAAATCAAATGCAGCAGTCATCAGTGTTTAAACATATCCTTAAAAAGTTGTAGGCAACCCCCCTATGGCCTCGCTATAAATAGCAACTTAACTGGGGCACTTTTTCTACATCTCTCTCCCTCTCTCGCAATGGAGAGATGGGCGTTGAACCATCGGAGACGAAGATGAGTCGGAGCCTCGCAGCGGTGCAAGGCGTCGTCCATTGCAAATCTTGCAAGTATGTCGGCGTCATGGGCTTGGCGTTTGTCGGAGTGATTTCGATTTAGTGTAATCTTCCAAATTTGAATGTGATCAATCTCTCCTTGATTCCATATTATGTCCAACGGTTAGATCCACACTTTGACTTGGGCTAGAACCTTGGATGCATCCCAAAGGTTCTTCTCGTTTCATGTGGTCCTCTTCTTTATTTGTCTTTACAGAGGGTGGGTGTGAGGTTTTTGCAGATCAATAGAAGAATGGAGTTTGTGGTCATCATGAATACTTGCTTAGATTGGAGTTAAGGAGGTGTTGAAACCATCAATTACTGGTCCAGGCCGTACTGGAGGCGCGTGTGGAGATTCTGGCAACCGCCGGTGACGACGGCATCACACGTCATGGGTCCTTTTTAAGGCGAATTTAGGATCTTGTTCAGTGTTTAGAGTCGAGGTTTGGAGAGTATTGCTTGGCATACGGTTGATTTGGAATAGAGGTTGAAAGAAAGTGAGATTGGAATTAGACAATCGTGCACTAGTATTGGCAATCACACGTCAGACGGATCTATCATAGGGGAAATTCAGAAACTACCGGTTCGTTCATGGAACGTCTTGATTTCACATATCTTTCGGAAGGCGAACGCTTGTGAATACTTTATTGTTTTGGTCGGACATGTTGTATCATAGCCTTCACCCATTCTACCGTTATTAAAGGCAGATGCTATTGGAGTAACTCTTCCTGTCCAAGTTAATGATGTTATGTTTCCCCCCCCCCCCGGAGAGAAAAAGAGAAAAAGGTGTCAGTGGTATGGTAAAAGGTCCACGTGCCTTATAAAACTTGATCCACCCGTCTTGATCGGAGCAACTATGTCCTGACACGTGTTTGGCTCTAGTGCAGCATGTCGGCCAGGAAATTACGCTTCTGCCCTCATTCCCTTCTTTGCCTAATAGACGTAGCCAAATTTCTCAACGAGAAATGCTCAGTGGGTGGCTACACCGAAGCGACATTTCGATTTTACGCGAGCGATTCTTTACCGAAAGGGGGAAGAGGGAACTTTTGCTTGCGATTTCCAGCTCTATGGTGTCCGTAAACCCTAGCCCAGCTCAGGGTTTTCCCTTCTTTGATCCCATGAACGTGGGTTTACCGGGTTTCAACGCCCTGGCCCACACGCTGGCGGCGGAGGGACTTGGTGTTGGTCATATCGGTGCGATTCCGATGACTGAACGGAGCAACATGATGTCGTTTTCGGAGGATCCGACGAAGAAAATCCGGAAGCCGTACACAATCACGAAGTCTCGAGAGAGCTGGACAGAGCAGGAGCACGACAAGTTTCTAGAAGCTCTCCAATTGTATGTAATCGGTTCGGGTTTAGGGTTTTCCCATCTGATTCAATTTAGGGTTTTGGTTTCTTTTCAGATATGCCGATGAAAATTCCTTGTTTGAATACATTGGAAGCTTCGAGATAGGTCTTGGTGGGAAATGCTTATCTTAGTGGAAGCAATTTCTCCCAAGGATGCCAACATGGGGTTTAGTGTGGATTAACTTTACGTTCGTTTCTCATTTCCCGAAGTTTGATGACGTTTGGTTACTACAGGTTCGACAGAGACTGGAAGAAAATAGAGGCCTTTGTGAGATCGAAGACAGTGATTCAGGTGATTGGATGAACCTTACTCGCATATCGATTCAGTTGGGGCATGAGAATCGTTGGGATCACAGAGAAAGCTTCGATTTTTCTCCTTTTGATAGAAAGAATTAGTGTTGATGACTGTATCAGTCATTCATTCAGGAAGATAACTCGAGTCTTGAATTGGGAGTTGAGGTTTATTAGTAACAAAAGTTGCTATTTTTATGTTGCATCCATTCACTGCCTTGATTATATGTTCAGTTGATCGAAGATTCAAATATTGAATTTCGCTCTGGTGTCTCCTTCATCCTTAGCCTTTTACTTTAGGCCCTGGATGAGATTTTTCTATGTAGAGTATAAGTTGGATCGTATGAAATGATTCGCAGATCCGAAGCCATGCACAGAAGTACTTTCTCAAGGCTCAGAAGAATGGGAATAGTGAGCACCTTCCACCTCCACGACCAAAGAGGAAAGCGACCCATCCATACCCTCAAAAGGCTTCTAAAAGTGGTGAGTGTTGACTCTCATCCTCTGGTTTGTTTATCAGTATATTGCTCAATCTCCTAACCGATTTTTACTCATGCTCTGATTATTTTGCTACGCAAAAGCTGCTGCTATGCCCCCAGTCAATGTATCCTTCCCATCTGAAAATGCTATGCTCGAACCCGTTTACTTGTACGACACTGATCCACGGTCGCTGCTTGGGAATCCGGTGATTAAAGGTACATACTTGACGACTTTTTGCTACTTATCAATGGATTCCCAGATGATATTGGAGCTTTTACCTGCTAAAATCCGTGGAATAACGTTCACAACATCGGGAAATGAATCCGTGGCAGTAGAGGAAACGGGTGTCCCTGCACAGACAATCACCAACACCTGCTGCTACAGCAATGGCAGTACAGAAGATACGCAAAGGACACAGACCATTACAGAGCCAAATGATCAAACAAGTTGTGAAAAACTACCAAGAGGTAAGGTTTAGCACTTTCAAAAGATCTTTTCTTTTTGTCATGGTATTTGGAGTTTTAGATTTTTTCTCTTTTCTTTTCGGTCTTATATGCTCTTAGTCTGAGGAGTTGTCTGGTGGGTGATTCAACACAGTGATGCCGAACTTTGCCGAGGTCTACAGCTTCATCGGTAGTGTCTTTGATCCTAATGCCAAGGGCCATGTCCAGAGGTTAAAGCAGATGGATCCTATAAATCTGGAAACGGTATATGTTGATTGATGCCTTAGATCAGAATCTATGTTTCAACAGAGGAGTAGTAAGATGTTTTGATTATTCATCGTTTCGTTTTTTGTTCATTAGGTGATGCTATTGATGAGAAACCTCTCTGTAAATCTGACGAGTCCCGAGTTCGAAGGACAGGTAGGTTTCGCCGTCGATTGAATCATCACCCCAAACTCAAAGCTAACAACTTTGATAACTTGTAATATGCTTTTATGGTTTGTGATAATGCAGAGGAGGCTGTTATCATCGTACAACGGCCGAGCCACTGAAGAGACATAGAAAAGGAACCTATCTCTCTCGGATAACTTACCGACCGCATAAGGGTCAGATTAGACACAACACAAGTCGAAGTGACAAGTCACGGCTAAGACCATTCATGCTTGTATATAAATCCACATACTGTAATGTGAAGAGTAGATGTATACGTAATATGTATGTATATATTTTATTATGTACGGCGCGTGGCTGGATTTGGTTCTCAAGGCAATAGTGGCCGATGCAGGGGAAGTGTTTGTAGGGTTTTTGTATATAGAAGTAGGGGTGGGCATAATATCCGGAAAAACCGAACCGATCCGTTATCCGAACCGTATCCGAACCGAAAATTCGGATATCCGAAGGTTACGGATCGGATACGGATATTTATTTTGAATTATTTGTCGGATACGGATCGGATACGGATATCGAATTCGAATTATCCGACATATCCGATCCGATCCGTACTAATTAATAATATTATTAAATATAAAATAATTTGCTATAAAAATTTAAAATGCTTTATACTTATCTATTTTATTGAGATATTTAATAAATATTTTGTATATATATTGAGATGTAAAATATTAATCTTTTGAAAATTAAAATTTATTATGTTTAATTTTTGAATTTTGAACTTTCAATATATTTGTATATGATAAACTATGATTATATTTGTATTTGAATTAATTTAAAATATTTAAATTATAAATTTTAAATTATGAATAACATTTATATTAAAGAACTTATATATTTTCTTTATATTTCAAATTTTTATTTAAATTTGAATTTAATTTTTATAATTTTTAATGTCGGATACGGATATTCGCAAATATCCGCGATATTTACGGATATCCGAAATTTCGGATATTCGTAAATTACGGATCGGATACGGATAATAAAATCAAATATTTGAGCGGATCGGATACGGATACGGATATCCCAAAAATCACGGATATCCGATCCGTGCCCACCCCTATATAGAAGGCGAGGCTAGTCTGTGTTTTGGATAAACTTGAAGGTGTTTTATTAAACACGTGTGAAAACTAAGAGGAGCAATTGATTCATTTACGAGAGGGGCTGGCTCCGTGTTTGAAACACGATTCGGTGAGAAATATTTGCTCAGAAATGCCCGAAACGTATGGCCCATGAGAATCTCGCTCAAAGCACCATCGGTCGGTGTTGGAATATTGGTCCCCATTACAATATTCCAACATTCGCCCACTCGCAGTTATGGCGCGTGGACGACACCGCCCCAAATTCTCTAAGGGATTTTGGCATTTTTTCAAAATATTATTATTCGCGACGCGTGAGCGACCTGGCCTTATGGTTTTGCTGCCGTTTTTCTCTTCTCGTCTCTTTTGTTTTTTTTTTTCATGCGAACTAATTTCCAATTGAACAAAAAATAAGGTTATAAACGTATCAATTACGAAATAGAGGTGTGAAAAAAGCCCAAATTCGGATACCCAATTTGACTCTTGTAGCTCGGGTATCCGAATTTTGAATACCGGACACTTTTTATGAGGTAAATTGGTATTATTTAAAAAAAATTCAAAATTTGGATCTAATGTATGAGACATAGATAATCAAAAAATAGTTATATAGATTTCCGACATAAATATGGATTTGATTGATTTCAGATAAATTAATTTGGTTAAAAAAAATAGTCTTAAATGTTCGGGTTTGAATACCCACGAACACCGAAATATTTTCTACAAAATATTCAAATTTGGACATTCAATCTAATGTACCTAAAAATTTAAGGTACCCACACTTAGGGTGGACACGGATTGAATACCCAAAAAATCAGAATATTTGAATTTAGATTCGAAAGGTTCGGGTATTTAATTATAAGATTTGTATCCGAGATTTAAGGTTTACGAGTATTCGGGATACGAATATTCGAAATAATGTTCGAGTACTAGAGGGTACCCGGATCCGAATTTATTTAAGAAAAACAACAATATTTATATATAAATTTTTTAAAAAATGAAGATATATTTATAAAAATGGATAAATTACGAGAACAATATGAAACAAAAAAAGATAATAAGAGATAAATAATAGGGTAAAATTCCTAAAAAACCTCCAACTTGCAAAAATATATACAAATAAACCTTCAACTAGAAAAACTTTGATTCAATCCCCGAACTTGTAACTTGTCACTGAATAAAACCTCGAACTTGCAAATTATTGTTCTAATAAACATTTGACCGGTTTGACCACAATTTCAAACGATCGGAAATCCACGTATTGACGGATTGCTGATGTCATTTTTTAAATTAAAATTGATAACGTGTGTAAGGTAACATCAACAATCCGTTAATACGTGGATTTCTGCTCGCCTGAAATTGTGGTCAAACCGGTCAAAGGTTTATTAGAGCAATAATTTGCAAGTTCGAAGTTTTATTCAGTGACAAGTTACAAGTTCGGTGATTGAATGATAGTTTTTCAAGTTGAAGGTTTATTTGTATATATTTTTGCAAGTTAGAGGTTTTTTAGGGGTTTTACCCTAAATAATAATAAATTTAGTTTTTTTAAATAATATTAAAAAATATGAAATTATTTAACTTAAAATAATTATATTTTATAAAAATATTATATAGATATAACATATAATTATTTATAATTATACTACTCGGTTAGTCATGGATATCCGGTTTTAAAAATTCTATCATCCGGATTTAGATTCGGATTCACGGATATTAAAACATGCGGATTTGAATTTGGATTTAAATAATACGAATATTCTAAAATTGGTTATCTGTGAAACGAATATCCGACACATACCTAATTTTCGGGCATTTGTGCCCACCAATACCCAGAGTCCCAGACCCAAGCGAGCCGTAAAACAATTATCGGCCCATTACCGTACCGAACACTTGAAATGGAGACAATATCAGACCATCCGCTCTCACTCGCTACGTCTTTCTACTCCGACAAGTCTTCATCAGCTTTTTATTACTTATATATACATATAACGAGACCAGACACCAAGACACAGGATGGTAAATAACTCTGAAACCACTACCAAAAAAAAAAAGATAAGATCTCACAAGCGGAGATAGAGAGATATCACAAATGGTTAATTTTTCAGTTTACTTACACAGGTCAAGCCATTGGCGCTCCTCTCCCCTTTTTCTTACTTGTCGACTTGTTTGGTCATACACCTTCACATTTGGCTTTCTCTGTGTACAAAAAGCTACCTGTACCCGAAACTCATGTTCAGATCGTGACCAAAGGAGCCCCGATGATGCAGGTCAATGGCTTGACCCATCGGTGAAATCTGCTTCGGGCCGATCCCAAGGAGTCTCTGCAGTGATACTGGTTGATCACTTCCGTTTACTTCTCGCACTGAAGCATAACAAGAGACAAACACGTTTCAGAGAGCCGTATCAGTCATGGATGCTCAGAACCTAAAGGTACAATCATTACATTATATGGTTCCCCCCGATGGGTTTCAATTAATCCCCTCATTGTTTAGACTTTACTACCTAGCTAAAGCAGCTGAACCAATCCTACGAGGTTGTATTGTTGAATGACAAAAGCGGAGAAGGGATGGTATGTTGTCTTATTACCTGGTGGTGGCATGTTATGCCCAGCGAAGTTGGGCTGTCGATGGGCAAGGGGTAAGCCTTGTGATGTGTTAAGCTCGGCAGGTACTACACCTGACATCTGATTTTTTGCATGAGGGTGATGGTGCGGTGGACCATTGGCAAATCCTTGTAACAGAATGGAGTGGTGGGGCATTTTGCCTCGCATTGGCATTTGCATTTGCTGCAAGATAGGATGAGGAAGACGATCAAACTCCGGAACCCCACCAGGTGTATGATGGAAAGGTGGCCGAATCATGTTTGCTGGAAACTGTTGATATGGAGGAGAATCCTGATGAACACTGACTGAGGCCATTAACTCAATCTGAGACTTTACGTTACCATGACGAGGGTCAAACGAGTGGAATAAAGGACCTGAACCATTTTGATGAGAAGATTGCAGCTGAGGGTGGTGAGATGGATGAGTATTAGAAGCCTGAAATGGGAGGTCTGATCCATTTGTGTACTGTGGCGGATGCCAGAGAAAAGGACTATCTTGATCACCTCTTGGTGGTCTCTCATTCCTCGAGCCAGAATTCAAGGAAGCTAGCTTCTCTGCGATAAATGGTACTTCAGGGTCTTGATTAGGAGGACCTTGGAAATGCATGTATTTTTGCACGGTGGCAGAATTACCGACTGCAAGTAAGATATCCTTTCCCGGGTGGCCTACACGAGCAGCACTGATCCTAGGGCCCAGTCCGGTTTGATTGTCTGCATTAGGAATTAGGCCTCCACGAACTACATCAGAGCTCATTTGGTCTCTTTGACTCAGTTCATTGGTAATCCCATCTAATCTGAGTTGGGCCCCGACTAGGAGAAGATCTTCACTTTTGATGGGAAGGGGCGAACCGTGACCTTCAGAAACTCCAGCTTTTGCAGATACAGGTTCTCCAACTGATTGTAGTTCCTTCATGAAGGCACTCCCAAAAAGAGTCTCAAGAGTCAAAGTCTTCCCTGTATCTGCCTCTCTGCATATTCCGCCAGTTTTAGGTGGTTTCTCGGTGGGTGGTGGTCTACTTTCTGTTTTTGACATTGGTTGCACAGCTTGGTTTTCTGGGCCTGCTCCTGCTCCTTTCTGCAACAAAGAGAGTAAGTGTTGCGAAGCCTGGTCATCAACATCTGTTTTTTGCTGTTTGGTCCTCACAGAAGAAACATCCGAGTCTTGTATAGCTGGAGGTGGTGGAGAATAGCTATCACTGACTTCTGACAGAATAGACTGTTCAAGGTCTTCACAGGTGAGGACAGGTGGAACAGCTGCTGATTTACTTGGGGAAGTATTGCTCAACTGATCAGGGATTTTAGTGTCACAGCCTTGGAAGAGAAGCCTTGCTGAGAGTTCATCCTTAGATTTTACATCAAAGGTTTGGGATTTATTGGCACCTTGAAGCAGTGAGAGCAAGCCGTTTGGCTGCTCGCTAGATGAGATATCTTCAGGTGGTTTGCCATCTGATCTTGCAAGATAAAAAGAGAAAATAGACTTCAAAAAATTATCGTACTGAAGTGATATTAAGATAACCAAAACAGGAATAGAAAAGGAAAATCTAAAACTCCAGCATATAGTCGGTGGCTAACCTTCTTCATGAAATAGATATGCGAACTTGGAAGATTTGACGGTTTGTGGGCTCAATATCTCCTCTACTTTATCAGCACGATGCTGCAAAGATGGCAACAAGTGTGATCTCAAATGAGATGCTACAAAAAGTTCACAGGAAAACTATGTAACATAGACATAACATGTATATATATATAGAGAGAGAGAGACAACAACATTGCCTTAATCCCACGTTTATTTTTGGGGTCGGCAGAATGTATTTTTTGTTTCCATTCATTTCGATATACATATATATATATATCAAATATTATTTCCAGAAACAAGCATTCATTTGATACATGGAAAAGAAAAAATGAAAAATTGATGCAATCGACGAGTTCATAAAACATAGACCATCCTTCCTTTCACATACAGGATGTCTGAAAATCATGTTTCCTATGGCCAGAATTTCTGTAATATAAATCTACTTATGTAGGGCTAAAAGTGATTAAAGGGCACAAGTTGACTTAGAGAAACAGCAATAACGTCCTATCGTTATGTGATACATACAAAAGATAAACGCACCCAATGGAAAACAATAACGAAGCATATATTATTTATAAATTATGAAGAAATAAATAGCAAAAGCTATCACTAAGTCTCAGGGATACAGGAGCAGAAGGAATGATACAGGAAAGGAAGTTACCTCGATAACATTAGAGGAGTCGCCACTATTCAAATTCAAATCGGTATTGAATAGCTTATCAAGAATTGAAGGTCCATCCGAATTCCCCAAGCTTCTCTTCTGGTCCAACTTCGTCATAGCTTGTTCACTCTGTTCAGAATATTCTGGAGCTTCAGTAACACTTGAGATGTGGGAGTGCTTCTCAAAATTTTTATCTTTCCCAACTATATCAGCTGTTATTCCGAAAACGGTAGACAAATCGACAGCCCTTTCACTTGTGTTAGTGGAGATATTGACATCTGTACTTTGCATCAACAGCTCATTTGACCCCGTCTGATTAAGCAGGGTATTTTCCTCATTATTACCAGGCGTTCCATTCAATAGATGACCCTCTTTGGACTTCAACAGACTATCCTCGTGCTGAGAAACTCCAGTCTGCAAAAAGTGACAACCAGCTAATCACAGGTGAAGAAAGAGATGAGCATGAGCAAAGAGGAGTTACGAGATAACTAACCAGCTTTCCAAGATGATACCAACAATGATCTCCTAAAATTGGCCTTACGACATCAAGTACTACCAGGATGAGACTATCTTACATTCAAACAAAGACTCACAAGCACATAAACCAAAATAAATAGTCCCGCACCCAAAATTGAACTCTCATTGATTAACCAAGAGTGAATGACTTTCGGACAGCATCTATAGATATGGTAAAAAATTTGATAGTTCTAGACGTGAGCTTTCCCTTTTGCTTCACCAACACAAATGGGCTAAGAACCTTTATATCACGATGTGCAAAATAGTGGTAACATGTTCTCCTCTTCAAGTGAGAATGATAATTCTATAAGAAAGGCTTTACATAATTGTAAGAGTATTGAATACTAACCCAGAAGAACTCACCTATATTTTGCACATCTTATATAGGAAATATCACCAAGAGAGAACATCATTAGAAGAGAATGTTTCCAATTCAACAATATGCAAATAAGGAAAGAAAGCTACCCAGAACACACTGATCAAATCATAGGCTAAGCATAGACATCTCAAAATAACAGGCACTTACAGGAGGCTGTGCTTCTTGTTTCCTTTTCAAAAGCGTGCTCCCAAAACCAGGAGGTACTAGTGGTTTGGGTGTGGGTGTAGTATTTTGAAGGGGAGCCACGGTGTTATTAGAATCAGGAAGCGTCGAAAATTCCCTGACTTGTTTGCTTGTATCTTGTTGGCCATTCTCTTCCTTGGAATCCCCCGGCAGTACAGTGAAGTCAAAGTCGTTTTTCCGTCCTTCTGGGTTCAGGTTTTGCTTCTCCTGGAATGTTTTATGTTGTTCCTTTCTCAACAACTCAAAGGAAGCTGACAAAAAGTTGAGAACGTCAATTTGAGTTTGACTGAGTTTGACAGAAAGACAACGCATGTATAGGCTCTAAGAATGCACAAACTAGCAAACACCTAATTTTAGAACAGAATTAATCAATAGATCCACTTTACCTCTTCTCTTCTTCTCTTCTTCTGCTCTGTCTTCACTTGCAGAGTCAGAAGGACCAAATGTTTCATCGTTGAATGAGTCTTTGGTGTCACGCCGTGAATAAGGTTTTGCCTACAAAAAATGAGGAAATTTAAGAAACCGAGTCACTTCAACTAGTTGAAATTTCAGCTTAACGCCTCATAACCAGATGATGATCCAACATAGTGATGCATCACTAAAACACGCAAACTGGGACATTTCTCAAAATGATGGCCTCACATAGAAAAACGGACACTTCACCTTGTAGGGGGGCGGAGGATGATAAGGCCCGTTGCTTCTATTCAGCTGATGCAAATCATTAGACTGAGACCTTGGCCCAGATCTGCCCGCACCATATCCAGATGGCCTGGGGAAAGAGCCTTTTCCCAGAAGTCCATCATGCTCAGAAGCTTGCCAAGGCCCCCGAGATGGCATCCCGTAACGCCTTCCAGGCTCTGCTATCAGAAGAAGTCATGCATTATCAATTACAATACTCAAATTCATGAGAAAATTTTACTTTATGGCTTTTCCCTACCAGGTCAATGAG